ATTCTTCAAAAGTATAGGTATTCCTTCTATAAATGATAAACACAGAAGGGAAAACATGTAAATAGTTCTAAATCTATTTGCACAGCACTTTTAGGATCAAAATTAACACATTTGAAATATATGTATGCATTTGACATACAAATCTATGAGCACATATATCATACAATGTAGCAACTGAAATATCCTTTTAACAAAAATTCTGCCTCATCTCACAGTAGCAGCAGCTTTCGGTGATCAACAAGATTCCCCGTAATATTTCAAAAATGTCAGTGGATAACAGAAAAAAAGTTGTAACTACAAAGCACCATTATATTCCAATTGTATATTTCTACTATATTGCTAGAGATATGAGTCACTGTAGAAGAGAAAACTCTAATGCATTAATAACATAATATTGAACCACAATGAAAAGGAATGATAGGGAAAAACCAGGTTCCTAGGGACTGTCACAAAAAAGGGAAAAATAGTGCCTCTGAATTTTTAAAGCTATATGATTATTACTGAACAATATTTAGGATAAATTCCTAACTGTTTTTGGAGGGAAGCAGAAGTGGGAGGAAGAACATTTGGCAGCATATTAAAGGGAAAGGACTTCTCTGTATTCTCTGCTCAGTAACACTAAGCAATTTTCACCGTAGTCTCATGTTGGACTAGACAAAAGAGAAATATATTCTCATCTTTAGATTCCCTTCAAAGCTCACTGTCTTATTAGTTTACAGATGAAGTATAAAATAAAAATAAAATCAGGAGAAAACAAATCTTTTAAAAACCATCAAAAGTCAATCGCCCATGGGTATGCTTCTATGTAGAAAGGAATAGGTCAGCACATGAAACGTGTTCTTTATACCAAAAGAATCAAACTTCAGAACATTTCTTAGAATTGAAAAGATCTGGGCTTCTGTGAAATAAAATATGAAAACTCGTTGACAGCCATTTATTTTTAAGTCAGAGCAAAAACTATTGTAGATTCCTTGTTTCAGGTTTTTTATGTGTTCCTAACTGATCATACAAGATGGTTTTGTGGATCCTTTGTATGGACTGAATGCGGTTTGGTTCTGCTTTTAAACTAGAATATCAACCAGATTATATCAGTCCTATGCTCATGTGCTTTGGGAGTGGTTTATTGTCCCCTGTCTTCATTATCTAGATGCAAATATATTTCACAAGAATCTACAGAAATGAAAAACAGCTGAAACTATTATTCCACTCCCATGTCAACACTTAAGGTGGACAATGAAAACTTAAAATGGATGAAGTTATAAACATTTAGTAGCCCCAGGGGCCATTGAAGTCTTTCCCGTAAAACTGACAATGATAGACTTCTGGGATTTAAAAGACAATGATGTTATTTACAAAGGCCCCTCCATTTTACAGCCCCCAACCCCCCATTTCTATTAGGACAGCTCTTAGAAAAAGCCCCATCAAATGCAAGGAAGTACAGTATCAATTCTGTCAGCACTACCTACTTAAATCATGGCTAAATTTGTACAGTGAAGTATCGTGGTCATTGCTGCCACAATTCCACACCACAGAAAACATAGAGAATGGAGATGCTAGTGCAAGAAAGTTAGGAAAAATATGTATTTATTTACTAATTCTTATGTCTGTGTAAAGCAAAAGAAACAATAGACCTTATCTTAAAGGTCAACTGGAGAATAGTAGACTCAGCAGGTCGGCAAATACTGAAAATCCATGGATTATCATTCAAACACATCATAGAACTTCTTTTGTTACTTCCAGAGAATATTATCCTCTCAGTGACACCTACGGAAACTGTTGTTCCTTTAAATGCCCAAAGAGAAATAAAACCACAGGTAGGCAGAATACGTTATTTCCAAAGAAGTACACTAAAATCTGAGGTCAGTATGCCCAGAGAAGTTCAGGACAGCTCATGAGTTCCATAAACAAGATACAAATTGCTGAGGAATGAAAGTAGCCTAAAATGTATGACACAAAAGAAAGGCAATATATTGATAGCCAGAGAGATCAGTGATCTCGACACAGCTGAAAAGCTGTGTTCAATTTTCTGCTTTGCCACTCTGCCAGAGTGAAGGTACATTTCATATGCAGCTGGTTTTTTTTTTTTTTTTTCTTTCCTCATCATCTGCTGCTGGGTTACTATGAGAAACAAAACTCTGACTAGACAGATCGCTGTTCTGCCCCAACATGATAACTTCCCCGTGACACAAAGCATCTGTTTGTGGTTAGCTCCTTGCAACTTTCGAGGAATGACCTCTCCTCTATCAACTCCTGGCATCAGCATAGTTTTGGCCCTGGATATGTTTATTTTGGATCACCTAATTTTTTGTAGACTGATGGAAAATAGTTAAAATATGCCTATCAGTGGATGTACAAAAAAAATGAGATGAATTCTGTGATTTGAGACCAGGGGCTCAAAAGTAGTAAAAGCAATCTCAACACTATAAACTTTTTCAGTGTACTGAGATTTTTATATGTATTTGTTTGTTATTACAGGTCAGAAAACAAACAATTCCTTCTATTTGTTTTTTGGTTTTATGTCCAATTTTGAGGGGCCATACTACATATCTACCCAAGAGGAAACATACGTACTTAGCCCAAGATCATACTCTGCTGTTTAGTACATGTTTTAGAGCATGAATAGAAATAAGCCTTTCTCAGGATGTCCTCAGCATGTTCTGAGAGACAGAAGTGCTGAACAGAGAAAACTCAGAGTCATACTTCCAGTTCTGCCTCTAGCCATCTGTGTGAGTTTGCATTCAATATTTCATTTCTCTGTTCTCTATCTCCCTCCCTCTTCTATTTAGAGTGTTGGTTTTACTGAGTAGAAGCTGTCTCTTACTCAAGGAGACCTTCATCCTCATTAGGTCCTCTAAGTATTCCTGCAGTATGTACTTATAATGTATCATAAGCTTGCCTTCTCTTTATGATTATCTATTATTCATATTGTGGTAGTGTCTAGAGACCAATAAGTTAAGATTATGACAAGATACAATATATGGATAAATACAGATGGCAGGTGGATATTTAATAATAAAGATGGGTGTATGTACAAAACTTAATGGTGTCAGTAACTAATGCTCCTCTCTTCCAATTAGATTTATTATTTTTTTCCTGAGTGCAACAAATGAATTTGCAGAAATTCCATAATAGTTTTGCCTTCTTTAGAGTTGACACATCTCATTTTTATTTTGTAATATTTTTAATGGTTATAAAATTACTAATGGTATGAAGAGTTTATCCATCTTTTTTTTTTTTTTTTACATCATTAAAATACCACAATTTACCAGGAGTTAATATCCAGGAAATGTGGAATACTATAGAAATAACAAATTAAAATAAGTATTACCATTAGCTGCTCTACTTAGCAATGCAGTAATTTTATACAGGTTAAACCTGAATTTGAAATATTTGAAAATTTCAAAAATAACAAAAAATTGCTTTGGCTGAGGGGGGTGGAAAAAAATCCCCCCCCCCAAAGGAATCTGTGTAAATGTTAATATTTTTAGTGCCTCCCACTTATCAGACCCAGATTCTGCCATATTCTCCTAGGTATAACTAAATATTACACATGGATAGTCCCTATAAATGCAAGGACTTTTTAGTATAAGTAAAACTAACTAATAAAGCCACCCTTAAATGAATAAACATTCGGTTCTGCTGATTTCTACCTCAATGTGACATACATTTTTTACTACATTCATTGATATTGATGATTACAGTAGTGCCCAAAAGATGCTCAACAGCAAGGAAGAAGAAAAAAAAAACCAAACACAACAGTCTTTTGACAACCATTCTTGACATCATAGAGTCACAGAAAGGTTGAGGTTGTCAGGAACCTCCAGAGGTCATCTGGTCCAAAGCCCTGCTCAAGCAGGGCTCGCTAGAGCAGGCTGCCCAGGACTATGTCTATACAGTTTTGAGTATCTTCAAGGATGGAGACTCCACAATCTCTCTGGGCGACCTGTGCCAATACTCTCCTGTACTGGGGAGCCCAGAACTGGACACAGTACTTCAGGTGTTGCCTCAGCTGTCCTGAGGAGAGGGGAAGGATCACCTCCCTCAACCTGTTGTCAGCATTCCTCCTAATGCAGCCCAGGATACCATGAGCCTTCTTTGCTGCAAGGGCACATCGCTGGCTAACGCTCAACTTGGTGTCCACCCAGTGTCCAGCAGGATGTGAATAGATGATACCCAATACAACAGGAATCTGGGGCTGTTCAAGGCATTAAATTACTCAGTTTTATACTCTGTAAATATAATCCAAATCTGTACCCAACTTAGAAGGGGGAAAAACATTTGAAATGTTTTAATGAGACACAATTTTTGCCACAGCCATTTTGATTTAACTGATTTAGAAATATAAATTCAGTTCAGCCAACCAGAATTCATCCCAGATCTCTCTTCCAGCTCAGACTGTCCCATTGTACTCCAGCCATATAGTCATGCAATGGTCAGCATCTAAAGATGATGACTTTCAGTGTATTGCAGATACATGTGAATATTTATCATTACTTAAGGTTACAATGCAGGTAAACTCAATGGAGTTAGCAGAGTATGTGACCCCAGAGCACAACTCCTGTATATTGAATTCAGTAGGCACTTGATTTTTCTAGAAAAGGTCAAGTGTTTAAAAGTGGAAAACAGTACTAAAATAACAAAACTTTTAAAAACACACTCCAGCCTGGAGTTTTTACATTATCTCAGTATTTTGAAAGATTGCTTTCTATCTTGTACGATTTTTGGTTTCTGTGATTATAATTGCACAGCCATTAGTAGTTATAGAGCACGAAGCCACAAATCTGTTGGTGAAAGAGATTTTGTACAAAGCATTTCAGGAAGAAATACCTATGGTATGACCATGACACAATTTAATTGTCATCACAAAATTAAGGTTTAATCTAAAGTTTATAAATCTTGCTTCTATCTAAGTGTTATTTAGGAGCAGTTTCTCACTGTATGGCAAGCTTGAATAGGCAGAGAGATTGAAAGGGATGAAGAAGAGAATAATCTCTACTCACCTATAGTTGGATCATGATAGTCAGGGAAACGATGGCTTATGAACTGCATTGTCATTGCTGGAGATGAGGAAGACAGAGGGAAGAAAAAAGAATTATATTACTGTCTTTAAATGACAACAGGGAAAAGATCAAGCAGAGAATTCACTCATCCAAGTATTAGCTTAGAAAGTGAGTCAAAAGTCGGTCTTATGTCTACAGTTACAAGAATGCATTGGCGTTACAGTGATAACAAAGAACTGATAAATGGAAAAAAATATGAATTAAACTTCTTTATTTGTCTTAATTTCTTCTTTTTTAAACTGCATTTTATCAATTGCTGTATTAATATGTTACATCTTTTTGACACTTGGTAAATACTGTTAACCTGATATTGTCTACAGATGAAAATTGCCATGAAGGAAATATAAAATATAATTTACAAGGCTGGTTCATAAAAGTTTTCATGATATTACACAATGCCACTAACTGCAGTACCTGATTAGATTTCTGGTGCGTTTTAGGGATACCTAACTCATTAAGCTTGATACAGCAGACAAATGCTTCTGTTAACTACCTAGAGCTTGGTTTCTTCTGAACAGATTGTTTTCTGGCTGAATATTCCTTGCTTTCAGAAATTTTAGGGAAGTTACGAGTCTTCAGGAAAATTGTTTTGCATCAGAGCGGAACAGGTAGCGCTCTGGAAGTGAAATTACAATTTATGTAGAAAGCCAGAAACATCCATATCCTGTCCAACCATGAGTTTCCAACGTGCCATCTAAAGTTCATGGACTTTGAATAACCACAAAAGTAGGTTTGGGTAGTCAGTGGTCACAGTAATACCATCAGCTATAAGAACAACATGGGAAGTTATGTTGTCTTTGATGTTTTTCCTCTGGAGCTTAAACCTCAGTTCATTTGAAAAGTAAAGGAATCTACCTAACACTGAAAGCTGTGAAGAAAAGACCCTCAAAAGTGAAACAATTGAATTCCAATTGAACAGAAGGGGAAAAAAAATAGGACCCAACAGATTTATTTTTTTTAAATATTGCTTGATTTTTAAGCCAATTTCATTATTTTAATTTTTCATGGTTTTTTAATGCCTGCGTTAAAATTCCACTATAGTTGCTGTGTGGCCATTTGTTTAAAAAAAATACGCCACCTGAATGATAACTACCAGTCACAACACATTAAACCGAACATGAGATTCTGCCTTATGTCTTGAACATCTCAGTTACCTCCAATAGCAGAGGTTATGAACAAGACGTGACGTTTTAAAAATTCTGCATATAAATACACCCATTTTCAAAACAGCATTTTTTAGGTTAATGTTTGTCCTCCTTATATTTTCAAGAATCTGGGGGTTAAGGAGATAGTTTTACAAAATGACACAGACAAGGAGTATTAAACATTTATTACCATGTTAATAAATTATTGCATCTTTAGTGTAGACAAATATAAATATTAAGAAACAGCATTATAAATTCATAGTAACTCAGAGAGCGTAACTGTGTAAAAAAAGCTCATTCAGCCTATACATATTATAGGGGAATAAATCTACGTGCAGTGACACTCATGTCTTCTATATTATCTGTCGTCAGATGCATTACTTTTAAGTACTGTGTATGTTTGGACATTTTCATTTCCAGGACACCTGTTTTTTTAATCACGACAGATTTTTAGGCACCTCCATCTGATAACTGTTAGTGGTTTATGAAGAATAAATTGATGTCCAACGTGATCTGCCTAGTTTGCTGAGAAGCAGAGGCAGCTAGCAGAGATGCTGTTCATATGTTTCTGCCTACATATTTTGAGCTTTCTGAGGACCTGTACCACAAATGAATTCAAATTGTTTCACTACCTGCTGCTTTTCCTTGCCAAGTTTTTTTTTTTTTTTTTTAAAAAGAAAACTACTCTGTATCTGATCTCATTCTGTTTCCTTTTGGAGCTATGCCTGCGTCACAAAATCTGTTGTTATAACTGATCCCCAGAGGATACCCAGAACTAATGGTAAACATTTTTGCTCTCTCCTGAGACAGCCCCAAATCAGTACGTCATTTATATCCTTATTAAATCCACAGGATCTAAGAGGACTGAAATCACTTGGAAGCATCACGCTGACTTTCAACTGTAACGTGCAAAATGTTAGCTACTGGGACATGTAAAATTTATGTCTCCCGGACCACTCTGTGAGTGTGAATATGCATCATCAAAAGTTTCACAGGAACCTAGGCTGCACACAGTGCTTTAGAGGCAGATCTGAAGAGGAACTTATGTCTTGAAATGTCAAGTGCAACAATACTGACTTGTATATGCCTGATCCTCGTCTCAGTCCAGAGCTCTGTATGAGCTGATTTGGCTATATATAAAATGAATCTGGAGAGGTACAGAATTTGAGAAACGTGTTCACAGAAGCACTCTGCATAAAGAAATGGAAACATCTTACAGTCCGCTGGCTAGGGAAATGGTGAATAAAAGCTTCCTTTTACATGCATTTTGTCCCACAACTGCTTCCATGACATCCCTTTGTCAAGGGCTCCTCCTAATCACCAGGGTAAGGAACCTCTTTGGCCTCCTTAGTGCTTGTCACCTCTTGCATGGGGATTAGCACCCTCTCCCAGAAATAGGTTACACAGTTTTGTTTCCTCAGACAGAAGGAATTGAGGTACACTGTCTGATCTTTTTAATCACTGAATTACAATGTAAAATACGGAAACTGGTGTATAAGAGGTGAGAATTGCAAACCCTCTTCCTCTGTGTGTTCTTTAAAATAGGAATTATGATTTTCTGTTAAACCCTACTGAATGTTAGTGCAGCAAGAATTTTCAGAGCAGGCATAACAGGCCACTTCCCCTAAGGGAAAGGAACAACTAACTTTTGACTTCGAACCACAAACCCCTTCCTTACTCTATGAGAATGGGGAACAAAGTTTCGAAACATCAGGTCTGATGTACAACAACAGTTCTGTCCAGATTTACCAGACCTTCCACAGGTTTGGCTGCTGGACATGCAGAAATTAGTTCTGAATGATGGTCAGAAGTTGGTGGAATGCTTCCCAGAGCAAAAGAAGGCTCAGTCACCGCTGGCATGAAACCACACAACTCAGCTGGAACCTTGGGAATTAGACCTGTTTATTATCTGTTTGGGCTCCCCAGCGGGACAGCTACCTCAGCTGGAATACACTGACTTCTTCACCGATATTAACATCAGCTCCAAAGTCATTTTCCAGAGTGAATTAATTTTGAAAACTAATACCAAAATGGTATGGGTATTCCATGCTGCTTTATGAAAATATTCTCCTTGGTCCCCCCTTTTTTTCTTACCCGTTATCTTTATTTCCATATAAATTAACACTCACACTTAACAAATCCAAACCATCATCAGATATTGTTGTGACCATTTTCCTTTGGAAATCCAAATAATACTGCTCTAAATTTTTACAGATCTATAAATTAGGCACCTTTAACTCTAATTTATGCCATACATAAAGCATTGCATCAAAATGTGGCTTTAAAACAGGATATTAAAACAGAATAAATGGATAAGACCGATATTTGAATAAATACATATACATGTCAAAGCAGAGTCAGTTAAAAAATGATTAAAAAAAACCCACCAAAACACCTTTTAATCCACAGTAGATATTGTGAAACATTTTGAACAGCAAGTTGCCTGAAAATTTTTAATGAATATTTTATAACACTGTGAAGATCATTCCATTTAAATGGGGCATGTACATCACATGGCAACTACTATAAGTAAAAGGATCATTGTTTCAGATGAATAACCTCTTCGTTATATCCATCTGTGGCTAAGCAAGTACAGATTGCCTCAGTTGAATAAATGTAAGCCTGATATGCACGAGTAACTATATAACTTTAAATTTCTCTCGTGTTTTCAAAATAAAAAAGGGGTTCAGATCCTGCATTTCATTTTTAGTTGTTTCCAATTATGCTTATCCAATGTTCATTACCTGTCTAGAATGGTATACATGATATCTCTGCTGGCACTGAAATATATATGTTTTCCATGAATAATGAACTCAGTCCTGTCTGCTACTTTCAATATAATTCCTACTCTCTTCCCAATAATAATTTCTTTACCTCCCAGTACGAAATGTCATGCTTAGAAAAAGGCTGAGGTTATATTATTTACTCTAAAGCATCCTTTTGATCAGTACAGCCATACTAAATTTCATGTAAAGGAAGGTATCAACTTTTAAAAATATATGTGTTTATGTCGACCTATAGGTTAATAGAAAAAATGCTTCAATACCCATATAGTTGTGCAAGCAGGTAGAGTAGAATCCCACTGTCCTTCTAATTTGTTCTAAATTTGATTTGTACCAACAACTTTGAAAGTAGTCCTACAGCTCTTTTTCAAGGCTGGAGAGTACGTTGCGATCTTACACAATATTCTTTATGGTAATAGTATCCCTGATGTGAATATCTCATCCTGAGCTTCCTATCCCTCTTTATTCATCCAAGAACTTCCACATAGTCATACTCTCCTGGGTGCTGTGTATGATCATATATTAATCCGTTTCCAAAAGAATCTTTACCCTCATCACAACATCCTACACTTTAAATAGTCTAACAAATGACCACAGTAGTTGTGACTCAGAGATCTGTGATTCCGTATGGTTGATTCACTTTAGCTTAGATCCACTATTCCAGTGGATCTTTACCTTCATGGGAGACGGCCCTAAAATAATCTAATATGGTAAAGTCAGTGTATTTATAGATTAGTTCATGAAGTTCATGAGAAAAGAAGAACCATATAGGTATTATTAGCATAGAGAAAGTAGCAAAGAAGCTAGAGTCTGAAAACAGAACAGTAGATCATATTAACAAAATATGCACCATAGGAAGAGACTTTGTCACAGAACAGAAAAAGTCACAAATATGCTAAAAGTTTAAGAGACATCCTTGCCTCTATCAATCTGTAAAATTAAATAACTTTCTAAAAACCTGGCCAGGGCATGTTCAACCTAACTGTTTTTATTCTTTTGATAAGGTGTTTGTATAAACTAAATATGTAAAAATGTTACAATATCAAAGTTTTACTATTTCAGCAACTAG